CTTTCCCTCCCTCTCTTTTCCTCCCTTTCTCCTCCCTCCTCCCTTCTCTTACCTACCTCCTCAGACACCAAACCTACCTACTTTTTCAAAAAGCCGGGTGGGCAGCTGCCCACCCGGCTCCATACGATGGCCGCCACTGCCACTATTAAAAGATTAGCGGGAAACAAAAGATCACTGTAATTAGTATTCCATTCATAACATGACCGATTGTCTCTAGTGAAGCAGAAAAACTGTGGCAATTGCCAGATATTGGGCCGAATCCCCAAAGTCTTTGGGCCGGACTGAACGGGCGTCTAGGCGCCAGGGCGACGATTAGCCGTCACACGCTTCCGCTAAATGAGGCAATGAATAGCCGACTCGCACCCTCTGCACCGGGACCGAGACACGCCCTCCTGCCGGGTCCCCCTGGCGCCCCCTCTGTCTCCGTCGCAGCAAGTTATAGAGAGAGAGAGAGAGAGAGAGCTTCACGTGGGAGTCCCACACAACCCTCTACCACCCCCCCCCCCCTCAACACGTGGCGCTGGACTGGCACCCAACGATCCTCGCTGGACCTCGGCCCGACCCCCGACCGCACATGTGTTCCTACGCAGGAACGAGAACGTGTTCAGATTGTGCTCCTCTGAGGTGGACGAGTAATAAATGAAAATCGAGAGGGTATTTATTTTCAATCGTAATAGCCTGTGTGTCTGATCCAGATATTTTCACGTAATACCAACAACTGAATTTTTGTTTCCAGTCTGTTCAGGGGGTTGCGGAAGGATGGGCAGGCAGGGGGCGGGCGGCAGCGGCCCAGTACCAGGAAGAGGCCAGCCCAGCCGGAGCAGACGCAGCGGGGGCGGCGGGGGCGCCCCGAACACGACAGGACACTCATGTCAGCCGCGCCGGCCCTCCACATATCAAGTTGCGCTTCACACGGAATCCCCAGTACGGGACGCAACACCGCGGGAAAAGGGGACCCAGTGAGAACAAAAGTGCCCAAAAGATATTTTGGGCGTCCAAGATAACTGACTACATCGAACATTATTAGACCCGTAATGCCTACCATAACGACCCTAGAGGTAAGTAACTTGATTTTCTTGTGCTTTCCTGAGCACTATTCATTCGACTCCCTGATGAGGTTTTATGCCTGACCGTATAATTCTCAACTGACCTGCTGATCACCCTCCCAGTGCTTGCCAACGTGCGTCAATTAAGTAGGTCACCCACGAGAATATTGTAAATTTACAGCATTAATAATGCTGCTTTCCTTTTCGTTGAGAAATGGACACGGGTTGCTGGAGTTGGCGCCGGCGCCCATGGCCCGTGTCGCAGCCGACGAGGCCTATCCCTCACCCTCAGCCCGTCCTGACTGACACACTGACACGGACAGCGAGTAAACGGGGCTGGATGGATGAATGGATGATGGCCCGCAGCGATGTGGGGACAGGTCCAGGGGTTGGGTTTCACAAAATAGCTAGGAAAAGTGTGTGTGTGTGGGGGGGGGGGGTGCAAAAAGACGAAACGACCTTTCGACACGGTCTTGTTCTAACAGCAGGCTATCTCAGCTGTGGCGATGCACCGGGCCGTCTGTCTGGTCTTGCGGGGTCATTTGCGTTACCCCGCGGCGAGGGCAGGGGGGAGGGGGTAGCGGGGGGCGCGGGGCGCAGAGGACCGGCTGGCACCTTGAGGCACCGGACAAAAGAGTCGTGCGAACCCATGTTATTTATGTATTTTCAATACTTACAGGACTTGCTCTCCTGCTCCACTCTCTGTTAACAACCCAGCGGCTAAAATAAAAGAAGAAATGGACATCGACTCGCTTGGTCTACGCTGAGCGCGATCAGGCGCGTATTAAGGGGGGGGGGGCGATCGCCCCCCTGTCGTCTCTAGACAGCCGCCTGAAAGGTAGGCAATTTGTGCCACAAAACCCCTGTGTGTAGGCAACCGACAGTGCATCGCCTCCCCTGTCAGCCGGACCTTAATCCGCCACTGAGCGCGATACTACACCAGGTTAGTGGTTCGCCCCCTCTCACTTCTGCATGATACTGTACCGCCATGCACGCGTGCTGCGGTGTTGCCTACTCGCTGGCGCGCCACGCTCAGAGACGATAGGCGGTCGAATCACTCCATGAAGCGGGCCTCACCCATGCTCACACTTATTCAACCGATAGTGCCATGATCTAGTGCGTAATTAGTGCAATCGGATCGTCCTAAAGTTAGAATTAGTTCGCATTTATGTACCCTTCTAATTCGTAATTCAAATTGGGCGAGGCCAGCTTCACAGTAGCCTCACCCAAATTGTGCAAAGGTCAAACAAAGGCCCATATTTTAGTACTCAATTATTGCAATCGATCAGTACTTATATAGTGCACACATCCTTAGGGTACATTAGCCGCCCAAAAGCGGGTGAGTCAGGTGATATATATGGCTAGGGCTACACGGGCTGTCGAACTAAACCGATTTCGAAGTTGAGGCTTCGTGACGCTGACCCCTCTCCCCAGACCTAATTACCCCTACCAATAGATGGAGTGCGAAGTGCGCTATAGTGTTTTGAACAGTTTTGAACCCTGCTGGCGCCATGGAGTCCCCGGCGCCTCAGGCGCGCGGTGGTGGCGATATACCGAGAGCGATAATCGCGCCCTGGAATGACTTCCGCTGCCCTCCTCTCTCTCTCTCTCGCGGTAGATTCCAGGGCTCGCGTTTCGTGCCTCACTTCCCTACGCAATTAGGCCCCCCCTCTCTCCTTTCTTCTTCCTTCCGCCCAGCCCGAGCCAGCCGCCGAGAGGCGCCGCTGCGTCTTGAGCCGCGCCGCTAAAAAGACAGCGGGTGTCGATAAATCAGGGGGCGACAAACGACAATGCGCCCCCGTCCCCTGCGCTGTGTGCGAGAGAGAGAGAGACCGGCGGG